TTAGGGGACTGGAGGCTAAAACATATAAGGAACGGTTGCTGGAATTGGGTATGTCTAGTTTAACAAAGAGAAGGACGAGGGGGGACATGATAGCAGTGTTCCAATATCTCAGGGGCTGCCACAAAGAAGAGGGAGTCAAGCTATTCTCCAAGGCGCCTGAAGGCAGGACAAGAAGCAACGGATGGAAACTGATCAAGGAGAGAAGCAACTTAGAACTAAGGAGAAACTTCCTGACAGTTAGAACAATTAACCAGTGGAACAACCTACCTCCAGAAGCGGTGAATGCTCCAACACTGGAAGTTTTTAAGAAGAGACTGGACAGCCATTTGTCTGAAATGATGTAGGGTTCCTGCCTGAGCAGGGGGTTGGACTCGATGACCTCCAAAGTCCCTTCAAACTTTATTATTATTATTATTATTATTATTATTATTATTATTATTATTATTATTATCATCATCATCATCATCATCATCATCATCATCATCATCATCATCATCATCATTATTATTATTATTATTATTATTATTAGATCATAAGCATAGTTGCTTTGCTTAATGACCAAGTTACCAGTCCCAACTGTAGTTGCTAAACCAAGACTATCTGTACAGGTATTTTCTTGTAAGGTTCTTAAGATAAGTTGAGGCAGTTATGATTGGGGAAGGGAGGAAGAAAGCTGAAGGAGAAATTAACTACTTGTTTGTTTTTTATTGTTTTGAATTTAAGACAAAATCAAGAGCAGAAAAAGTAGATGTGTAAGTATAATACTTAATGAATTCAGGACATTTAATTTCCTAATAAGCATATTCAAGATGCAAATGTCCCTAAGGTGCTTTTTCAAGAGGCAACTGGACTTTCTTGTTTTTCTTTGAAGACGTTTCGCTTCTTATCCAAGAAGCGTCTTCAGCTCAAAACTGAAGAAGCTTCTTGAATGAGAAGCGAAACATCTTCAAAGAAAAAAAAGTCCAGGTGCCTCTTGAAAAAAGCACCTTTGCGACAAGCAGGACCTGGATGACTGAGAATCTCCATAGACGTCAAGGTGCAAATATAAGTGACAGTATAATATTTAATGCATGCATTAAATAAAGTTGAGATGAACCTCAGAGCGACTGGTGTCACCAGTTCCTTCCATGTTTTTCTTCTCTCCAGGAACTTTCTTCTTCTTCTCCTTCCCAACAAGAATCTAAAAGAACAAATGAAAGTGATCAAGCCACATCATTCAAAGTGTTTATAAATCAGTACCTTGTTCAAAACACTAAGAACTTCAAGGATTTATTTTTTTTACTAATGAAATGAGCAGTACAAGTGCATGCTAACTAATATAAAATCTTAGCTATTTTCATTAGCTAGGGACAGCTATTTTAATAAATCAAAAGAAAAGATACACATTAGAGATATGTATGTGTAGTTCTCACTTTTAAGAAGTCCAAGAAAGTATCCAAGTTAATTCTAATCATGTATCAGTCACAAACTCATGTAGAAAAACATTTTGTATATTGAAATAAATCTCAGTCATAAATCTGACATGCTTAGGGATTTGAGGGTTAAATTGTGTCCTGATTTTTTTTATAACTTCATATAAACATTACTAGAATGATATCTCAACTATCACATTTGAATTTCCCTCATTCCAACATACATAAAAGAATATCTAGAGATGTGTCTTGAAATCCTTTGAGTATTTAAGGTGATGTAAATGGGATTCAGATGAATTTAACTCTGAGCCTAAAAATGGCCAGTTTTGGAGGTATGTGTTGGGTTATAGTATACATTAGAGTAATGTATTTCTGACAGTAGATGGGGAATTGGGAGGCAAATCCTGTTGCTTTTGTATATGTGTGTGCAGCATCAACACATATACAAAAGGGATAGAGGCTGTATCTCAATGTGCAGTCTGATTGTGATTGCAGATTTAGGCATCTCAAAGTCAAAATAATGTAAAATAAAGAAAGATATGGAAGTGAAATAGCCCCCAAAGAGGAGGAATAGGAGTAGACCAGTTAAGATATTGCAATTTAGCTAGGCCAAGGAGAACTGAAACTACTGCAGAACTAGTCTTGATGTCTCTAACTTCATAGGAAGGGAACAGGAAGTTATTGAAAGTGATAACAAAAGTTGGGTTGAAAATATTTTGCAATTCAGCTAATGTTTTTTAGATTAAAATCAACATAAATAGATGTTGCAACTTTTCTACTGAACATGGATAATCAAGTCCAACACAATTAGAAATAAATTCTATGACTTATCTGGCATGATGACAGGAGAGTGGCTCTATTTTTAGCCATCTCTTTAATATTTCTACTATTAAAAACTGGGAGTTATATCTGAATGACGTAGGAGATGGGATATAATTCTGACGCTGAATCACAGCTTGAAAACCACAGTTAATTCTCATTTTTGGATGTCATTTGGGATTTAAACAGGAAAGAGGAAAAGGAGGAGGGGAGGAGGAAGATCAGTTTATTATCATTCATGTTTTAAACCATCTGAGTTACTGTAATATATTTAGCATCGCCTAAAATTGCAATTAAAATAACTCTCAATTTGGTCCAGATTCATTAGCAGCATCTAAAATTCCTGAATTAGTATAAATAAAATACTGAAATATGTTTCAGATTATTCTAATCAGAATAAGGAAATATATGTTGCATTGAGATACAATCTGGTCACCAGGGAAATGTGTACACAATAAGTGACCACATGATTTCCCCAAAAGCTCTCCACCCATCATCCATCATCCAAGAAGAGAAAATGAAAGTAGGAATCATTTCATAGGGAGAAAAATCATAAAATAAAATAAAAATAAAATTCCCTTCCCTCAATTTCAATCATTTGAAATGCTGCTTGTCACTTTTAAAACCCTAATAATAATAATAATGATGATGATAATAATAATATACATAAGATACCTAAAAAGCTCACCACCCATCATCCGGGAAGAGAAAACGAAAGTAATGTTAAGAATTAAACTCAAAGGAGAAAAATAAAATAACATTTATTTCAATCGATCTCATTTAGATGTGGATTTCAGTAGGCCAGTCTCCATTCCGGGATCTCCCAACCTGCCCTGCCTGCCTGGTCCTTGAACAGCCTTATGGGAGTTGTAATCCAGCACACTGACAGGTCAGGACCCAGGGGAGACAACAAGGGAGGGCGAAGGGGCAAAGCGATCCTAGAAAAAGTAGCGCCGCCCGACCGGCTTATCCCAACCGGCTGGGACGCCTCTTGGACAGCCGGCGCGCCCTGGAAACCCAAACGAGGCCGACCGCGGGCAGCCCCGAAAGGAGCCGGGGAAGCGAAGCCGGGCCGGGAAAAGACGCTCAAGAGCTGCAATTGCTTACCTGCTGCTCGGCCGCCTCCATCCCTCCGTCCACAGGATGAGCCGCTGCCACTTGTCAAGCGCGCCCGGGAGGCAACAAGGAAGCGTTGCCCGCGTGGCTGATGCAACGCGGTGCGCCGGGTTGCGCGCAGCTCTCCGCCCCTCGGCGCCCGAGAGGGACGGCCCTGCCTGGGCGGAGCTTCGGGCGGTGCATGGCCGGCGCCGGGTGGAGGAGATCGGCGGTAACCCGGGGCTTGCCTGGAGGGTCCCCTGTGGATCCCCGCCTTGTGGCGCCCTCCAGCTGGGTAGGAATGGCGTTCCCAGGATCCGCGGGCCGGCAAGCGCTTTTGTGGGTTGCGCTTCTGCGGGCGCCCGGTTGGGTCTTGTCCTCGTTGAAGATTGAGAATCAGCCAACGTGCCAACTGCAGAGAGCGAAAAGTGCCGTGTAGAAACTGGTTGTGTGTCCTAATAAATCTCTGCCAAAGCAAATCAGCTTTACAGTACCTGGAAGTAAGCAGTTCTAAATTAAGTGAGTAGGCTTCGGTAGGGATTGCCTCATTAATGGTTAACACAGCTCTGATTTATTCTGGTTTTGTTTTTTTTTACCACGCGCTGATTTCTAAACAGGTGAGTATAGGTAGTCCTCGACTTACGACCTCAATAGAGCCCCCAATTTTTCTTGCTAAACGAGACGTTCGTTAAGTGAACTTACAAAAGTTCAAAATAACGGCAATGAATTATGCATATATGCTATAATTTTGAAAACCCAAGTTTTTGCACCCCCTGGAATGTCGTCTCACATCCCCAGGGGGTGCGAGCACCCCTGATTGGGAACCCCTGGTTTAGATGGATAGAAAGGGCTGTTCAATCTTGCCCCACAAGATGCAGCAGAGAGTTTGTTTTCTATCTGTCATTGCCTCCATCTACTGGCCACTGGGAGTTTTGCAGTCCAAAACGTATATGACAGGATTAGGATTCCATAATTGTGGACTTCAATTCCAGAATTTCCCAGCACAGGCAGGTACAGTAAATAAGCTATAAAAGTCCAATTTGTTATCCATCATTATTTTCTGGACCACAAAAAATTGGCCTGCTACATCTGAAAGTAAAGATTCCCAGTGTTACCGTTTAAAGCAGACTAGTATTTTTTGAGAGCCAATTTGGTGCAGTGGCTAAAGCACTATGCTAGAAACAGGGAGACTGTGAGTTCTAGTCCTGCCTTGGGCACAAAACCAGCTGGGTGACATTGGATCAATCACTTTCTCTCATCCCTAGGAAAGAGGCAATGGCGAACCACTTCCGAGAAAGATTGGTCCAGTTTTCATGATTCAACCTTTTGACCCCTTTGGCCTGGATAATTGAGACTTCATCGACACACTTCCGAGAAGCCTTGCCCAGAAAACTTGGCAAGTCCAGGCAGAAAATTAGACAAGCAGGGATTTGTCTAGACCAGGGATCTTCAAACCTGGCCCTTTTATGACGTGGACCAACTCCCAGAATTCCTCAGCCAGCATGCCTGGCTGAGGAATTCTGGGAGTTGAATCCACAAGTCATAAAAGGGCCAAGTTTGAAGACCCCTGGTCTAGGCAGTCTCCAAGAATTGGACACGATTGAATGGAAGAAAAAGAATGTGGTGTTCAGTTAGTATAGATAAGGGGTAGGCAAACTTGGCTCTTTAATGACTCGTAGACTTCAACTCCCAGAATTCCTGAGCCAGCATGGCTCAGCTTGGAAACCTCTCCCTTTCCCCTCAGCATGGCTGGCTCAGGAATTCTGGGAGTTGAAGTCCATGAGTCATAAAAGAGCCAAGGTTGCCTACCCCTGGTATAGGTAGTCCATGGCTTATGACCATAATTGAGTCTAAGCAGGTCACCATGTGATTTTACAACCTTTTTTGCAGTGGTCGGTAAGCAAGCAGGCAGTTGTTAAGTGAATCCATTTTCTATAGTGGGCATTTTTTGCCAAAACCCAGAAGTAAATCTCAGTTTCGGGCAAAAAAAAAGAAAGAAAAAAGAGTCATAAATCACAGTCACACAACTGCAGAAAGCTGCAAACTGCTGTAAACATGGAGCAGCTGCTGAGCACCCAAAATGTGATCACGTGACCACAGGATTATGCAGCTTTGGCTGTTGGAACTTTGAATTTGGGTCATAAGTAGTCCTGTTGGAACTTTGAATGGTCGCTAAATGACCGGTCATAAACCAAGGACTACCAGTATTCTAAATAACCAGCCACCTCTGCAAGGGAGGTGAAAGATGTATGTGTATGTGTCATATTCCTTTTTTACAAAGAAGGTAGAACATGGATTACAATGCCACACCCATCTTCTTGCAGATTTTGAATCCTTACTCATCCCTGGAGTGCTGCCTCTTCTTTCTTTCCCAGTCGAAATGTGGAATTCTGCTCTTTTTCCTTCTACCTTGTGAAGAAAAGAAATTGCTTTCAAAAAACGGGCAGGAAGAGGGGGAAATTATGAATGTTAATGTTTGGGGGCTAAAATGTGAGGGTATAATGGCACCTTTAAGGCAAATGTGCTACTCCTGTCTGGGTATCAGAATACCAGAGTTGGAAGGAACCTTGGAGGTCTTCTAGTCTGACCCCCTGCTGAGGCAGGAAACCCTATTTCAAACAAATTAAAACCTCCAGTGTTGGAGTATCCACAGCTTCTTGAGGCAAATCGTTCCACTGTTTTATTGTTCTCACTGTCAGGAAATTTATCCTTAGTTCTAAGTTTGTTCTAAATTTGTCCTCTCCCTGTATACAGAGTGACAACTTCAGGTTGTTTCACTTATGGGCTAAAAATGAGATGAAGACAATATTGTGCTGCTAACGAGTTGCACAGAAATTTTATAGCAATTTGATATTGCTGCAATATCCAAGCATGTGATGAGGGACTGATAATAGATTAGATGCTTTTGTCTAACTCATGGAGTGAGTCACATCTGTACGAGTTGTGAAGTAGACAATATCACAATGCATTGGTCAACAGTAACCCAAAAGCAAATAGCATTGTCATTAATCCAAACTAAATTAGATAAATTAAGAAGTAAGAACCAAGTTTTAAAGTTTTTTTAAAGTTGCACTTTAAAAACTTTAAATATGGAAATAGGCAGTGTTCATTTAAAGTGTGCAAATACTGTAGGTACCTAATATTAGAAATTGCTATTTCACTCAAAACTGTTTAGTTATGATTGTGGAACCAGAAAAATATTATAAGCATAAAAGTGATTCTGTAGATTAATCATTTTTATAGTATGCTCACTTTTAATGAAAATCTGCATAATTATTTTCTTTTTTCCTATGTTATCTCTGTTCTGATTATACTTATGGAAATGTGATTTTATGTTTGTTGAATCTAATATAGCACAACAGTTTTTCAAGAATTTTGGGTTTTTTTGAGAAAGCAACTTACATATAAAAAAACACAAGAATCAACTAATCAAATCTTCTCCTAAATTAAATTCTTCCTTTTCCGTCCAGATATGAGACTCTTACACTCAGAGTCAAAAATCTTTTTTTCTTTCGGCATCTAGACAGGCAATAATACCTCTATGTTACAAGAAAAAATGTTTTTTACTCAGGCTCAGCATGGTAATTCAGATTTGGATTGAAAAAGGACTATTTTCTTCCCTTTCCCTCCCCCTCCTCTTCCCCTTCCTTCCTTCCTTCCTTCCTTCTTAAAGAAATATTAAAGGAATTGTGTGGATTTTAGAACTGAGTATATTGTGAACAAATCTGACAGAGCCAAAATAGTATTTTGCCAGGAGATGGCAGCAAACTTACATGTTTCAAAAACAATGGCTTTTTTATATATATACATATATGTACATATATATATACACACATACACATGTATATAGCGATATATTGATATATATACTGATTGTTTTACATCAGGAAGATTGTGCATGATTTAAATAGAAAGTAGATGCTGTTGTTTGATTCTTCTCAGAAGTAGGAAAAAATAAAGAGGTCTAAGACAGCCCTTATGCTAGCAGCTCTGGAGCCAATGTATATTGCAAAATTTTATCAAATCAAATTTATTAAACCTATAACCTATAACAAATTAATTATAAACTTTTTTGTGAGATACTACAGCAAAGAGCTATAGGACACCATGTGAGACTGGGATCACAGGAAGTAGGGATTAGACTTTTCTTTGATCCTGATAAAAGTCTCTCCATCCAAATCCTACTTTTTCCATCTGGATCCTAGTACAGGGATGGAGAATCTGGATTGTAGTTTCTATTCCTGGACTCCACCAGTCAACATTCTGTAACTGATGGAGTCCGTAACAAACCCTCCCTGCCTGACTGGTTGGGGCAGGACAATGTAGTGAGAAAAAGACAGTTCCACAGGTAACTTGGTCCCATGCTACGTAGGGTTTTAAAAGTCATAATCAAAACCCTGAATTCAAGTCAGAAGCAAACTGGCACCCAATGCAGCTCACACAGTAAAAGTTTTATATGTGTCATCCTTGGGGTGCTCAAGATTGCTCACACAGCTTCATTTTTGATACTAGCTGAAGCTTCCAGATACTTTTCAAGGATAGCCCTCTAGAGTGGATTGCAACTAATACAATTATCCTGTATCTGTGCCTTAGAAATTATGGACTTTAGACTATTATATGTTGACTATAAAAGATCACCTCAATGAGAAAAAAAACTATTATATATTGAGTGCATGAATGCTATTTATTTATGTATAAAAATGATTTCCCATTAATTTCTGGGACACACACAAGTATGCATTTATGCCCATTTCTATGCACAGCTGTGATATTTATACAGTCCACCCAGCATGTGGCACCAGGGGAATAAAAAAAATAGCCCAGTTTGTCTAAGAAAAACCACAGCTCGCGAGCAGAGAAGGAGCAGCGTTTTGTATAGGTGAAATGTCCTGGGTCAAATCCTTGGGTACAGACTGACACAAGTACGAGACTGTATCTGTTTCTCCTACTTGGGGATCTGGTTTGTTTGGTCTCGTGTTAAATTTACTTAAAAATTGTGGTTGGAAAGATCGACTGGAATTAGAACGTTACGAAGTTCAGATTCTTCTTAAAACCAACTGAAAAGAAGCCAGCCATGAAAATACAATCCAAGGTAATTACAGTGTGAAAAGTGGAAATTATTGTGCCAGAAAAAGGCCAAGAACTTGAAATGGGAGTAATGAGATGTGAAAAATGGAATAAAAGATTACAAAATCAGTATGGCCTATACAGTTTTGAAGACACTCCATCCCCTAGGAATGGTAACTATTTCCAGGGTTAAATTCAATTTATACATCCTAGAAAAAAAAATTCTCTTCTAGCAAGTGAAACCCATTTAAGTGCATAAAAGCAAATTGATGTTTCTAATTGGCCTTTCCAGAATGTGGATATCATCAGGAGATTCAGAAATAGGAATTGATGGCAGATTGGCTTTTCAAACCCAACAATTAGTTGGTACAATTACAAGATTTTTGGCATAAGGAAATTAATTACTTCCATATATGTAATATTTCAACAATTTAATCTGAGATTTATAATCTCTTGGTTTGGAAATATTAAAATTAAATGGGGGGAGAGACAGAAGGTTCTAGAAAACCCACAGAGTAATCTGAAAAATGGAGTCACTGTGGGAGTTTTATTCTCAGACTAAGCACAACTTTCTTAACTGCAGTGAAAAAGAAAAAAAGCAGAGCGAAGCTAAGAGATTGTGGTATAATGTGGTATAATGTGGAGCCATGGTGGTGCAGTTAAGAGCCATGGTAGCACAGTGGTTACAATGCAGTTATCATGGTTCTGTCTGATTAAACTCTTCAGAGAACTTCAAGGCATTGTTTACCTTAAAGAATATTGGAGTAGCAACACATCAGCAGTACATAGTCCAAGCCAAAATCTGACTTCCCCTCCCCTAAGCACATACTATCAAAGCACAATTCCCTCCTCTAACTAACAGTCATAAATCACATTCTCCAATTAGTTTGAAATGCTGGCTTTCCCGCCAGTTCTTCATCCCTGCCATGTCTTATCATCTCTTATTACAAAAAACCTTGGTTCCCACCCTTATACAACTTTGTTATGTCTAACTAAACTCCCAAGCACATTCCTCCTCCTCCCCCCCCCCCAGTATCATCTAATTCTAACTCTAAGAGTAAAACATAAAAATAGAGGAAAATGGCTGCATCTCCATATATTGTCAAAGCAAGAACATTCGATGTTAGCAGCGTTGACAGCAGTATTGCAGGCTAATTCTGCTGCCTGCCAGCAGTTCGGCAGTTCGATTCTCACCAGCTCAAGATTGATTCAGGTTTCCATCCTTCCAAGGTCAGTAAAATGAGGACCCAGACTGTTGGGGGCAATGGGCTGACTATAAACTGCTTAGAGAGGGCTGTAAAGCACTGCAAAGTGGTATATGAGTCTAAGTGCTATTGCTGTTGCTATCTCATAGAGCAAGGGTTTCCACCCTGCGGACTTGTGGACCTCAGCTCCCAAAATTCCTCAGCCAGCATGATTTTTCCCAGCAAGAGCAACCCCAGAAGATAGGAAAAGTGACTGATCCAAGGTCAACAGAAAAATATTGTCTCCTCTTTCCTTAATCTTTTGGGAAAGATTGGGAGTGGGATGGCTCAGTGGTTAAAGACCCCGAGCTTGTCACCTGGAAAGGTGACAGCCCAGGTTCGAGACAACAGAATGCACAGCAGGATGAACTCCCATTACTTGCCCAAGCTCCTTGCCCACCCAGCAGTTTGAAAGCATGCAAATGCGAGTAGATAAATAGGTACCACTTTGGTGGGAAGGTAACAGAGTTCTATGCTCCTTTGGCTTTTAGTCATGCTAGCCATATGATCACGGAAGTGTCTTTGGACAATGCTGGCTCCCTTGACTAAGAAACAGAGATGAGTATTCCCCCTTAGAGTCAGACAAGGCTGGACAGAGGAAACCTTTATCTGGGATAGATTCAGATTTCTGGATATGCCATGCCTCATTTCTAGCTTTGAATTCTTTTACCATTCTAGAATATAGGACTCAACCCAGATCCCAAACACACAAATTCACAGGCCACATCATTTTGTTATGATTGTTGTCTGCATAAATGCTATATACAGTAAAAAAAAGAACAACGGGTTGAATTAGACCAGGGATGAGAGGAGAGATGATTAAGACCAAACTGTATATTATACTGCACACCAAATGCGTGCCATGGATTTATGTTCTAAATGAAAAGCAGCTTTAGAGGAATGCACTTTTAAGTATGTGTGTGTTTAGGGACAGATTCAGTTCTTTCTCTCATGAACTATTCTGCTGCTCACACTCGTTTTCCCTTTATAGAGGATGCCAGAAGAGTGTTCACAAGCAAGATGCAGCATCTGGAACCCCCAAAGATAAAAATAGCTGGAAGGAAAAATCACAGTGGAAAAAACAGATGTATAAATTACACAGGCTGCTGACCAGATCTTTACTTGTTTTTTGTTTATTTAATTTTTTTTTTAAAAGCCCTGCTGAGGCTTCATTGTACACATTTATGCCACATGTAGTTTGACTCCTTCTGTACATCCCTTGTTCTTCTTTAGCTGACCCCATTCCAAGCTTCTAAGAATGGTTGAGGAATTCTGTGTTCTACCTCCCACACTGATGGCAGCATGTCTTCTTGTCTTCCTTCATTTAGGCTGAACCAGCTTCTGGCAGGTCACTTCTCAACAACTTTCCTTACTCCAAGCGTTTCAGCTCCCATCCTAACCGAGACCAGAGACACTGAACTGCAGTCTCAGGTAGGTTGATGGGACCCAGAACTCTGATAAGACTTCGTGTTGATACTTGTCTCAGGGCTCCTTTTGGTGGGCTGTCATTTGTGCCTCTAATAATACAAGGCTGTATGGTGGCATTGTGGGAACTGAAATAGCAGCTTTCCAGAGAAGGACTCATTGCTGCTATTTTCACAGGTAAACTAAATGGAAACCTACAAAGACGCCAATGGGCACAACAAACAGGCTAATTTTGATGCCACTTTCAAAACTTGCACAGCCCAACAACTCATCTGCCCGCTGCACAGATTGGAATCCACCTACGAAATCCCCTCCAAGATCCTTCCAAATATATCTTTCACAACTGATAAGAACCTCTGGTGTTCTCGGGTTCTAAAATTTAAATTGGCAATGACAGCCATGCCATAAGAGTTTGAATTAACCTTCTGCCATGGTCACTAACTTCACAGGATTATTCTGAAGATCAAAAACGACAAGATGACCACATAGCCATTTTGATCACTCTTGAAACAGAGCAGAGTAAGAATTCTGTAGAACTAGTTGAACTTCTGTCAACATGAGTTGTTCCAGTTATAAGTCATAAATTTCCATGCTGCGTAAGAACTGCCACAGTGTTTTTATAAGATGACTGATCACATATATTATTCTCCTTTATCCCCTTCCATTTTAAAGTAGTGCCTTGTCTGTGCACTTTTTGTTGTAATCTATTTTTCTGAGTAAAAACCCTTAGGAACTCTTGTCTCTCCAACCTCACCAATGAAAAACTCAGCATTTTAAATTAACAAAGGAAGAATAAAAATAAAAGAAAGGGAAGAAAATATTTCTTTATTGGAAAACATCTGTTTGTCTTTAATGTGGTATAAAAATTTGCAAGGCATCACTAAGCTATGCCTTTTGCATTTATAGTTCCACTTTATTTTCCATCCATCTATAGGAATTTTGCTGCAAATACCACAACTGTGTTTGTAGATGGAGTTTGTTTTCACTCTGACCTAAATTTCAGCAAGAATTAGGAAACCAAATTAAAGAAAAGCATCTACAGAATGGCACATCTGTTGAAGCTGCCTGAGGACATTTGCATGATAAATGTTTACATGTTTTCGGACATGGGAATTCTGCAGCCAAGCGGGATGTCCCTGACTCTGCGTGTCAGTGCCCAGCTTGTTTTCTCAGCTCATAGCTGTTGGATTGTTGTCTCCAAATTCTGTGGAGAAAGCAAAAAGTTCAGTCTTGTTTGTTCAAGGGGGCCACAAAATGCATCTCAACAGTAGAACCACTTTAAGCATTTCTTATGTGGTCAATCATATTGAGAATATTGCTGTGAGGCAAGACATACAATTTCAAAATTTGTTTTGCTGGGTTTAACTTAAAATTCACATGAGACCTATAAAATGACTAAAAGACAAGGAACAACCCATCTATTCACACGTCCCTTCTTGAATCAGCAGCAATTAGATCCACCTTTATTCCATTCTTATTTTCATTTACGTAAACATTTGAATGTAATATAATATCTGTGTGGCACAGTACTGCAGGCTAACTCACTGCTCACTCCAGGAGTTCGATTCTGAACGACTCAAGATTGACTCAGCCTCCCATCCTTCTGAGGTGAGTAAAATGAGGACCCAGAGAGGGCTGTAAAGCACTATGAAGCATATATAAATCTAATTGTTATTGCTATTGCTATATCACAAAGTTAAACATTAAAATACAAACTAACATAAAAAGGGAAAGGAGAAGGGAATAGCAAAACAAATTTAAAGGGACCAAAAAATTAACAAATTTATAACAAAGATGACCTCCAACTTTCTTTTAGAGATAATAACAATTCCAACAACCTATGTCTCAATTTAAGCAAATAATACCAATATCTTAAAATACTAATAACCAACTTTCTAAAATACCCATATTCATAAAATCTTCTTCTCTTAATTTTAATCCAAGAGGTAATAAATTGTCAAATGTGAATAACCTTATATTTAAAAGGCCACAATGTTTCTCTAATTCAATCCAATCTAATCCTTAAATCCCAAAGTTAAAAGGTGATTTTTCTTCTTGTCTTGCAAGAAATCTAACCGGTCTCCAAGTCACAAGAAATTTAGTCAAATTACTATCTCTAAGCAATCAATTTTACCATCTCAGCTAGCACCAGGATGTAAAGCTTTTTTTAAAAAAAAATAAATAAATTCACATATTGCACGTGTGATAGCCACAGCAAATTAGTGGAAGATGCTTCAGCTTTCTCTTTTCTTATTAAGGCCATAACCCAAGATATACTTTCTATGAAATGTGTTTCTGTAAGACAATGCTTAGGATTATGCTCTGGACATGTAGATGTTTGTGGTCACATTTTGTGATCCGAAATGATAGCAAGAGCAATAGATTTATATATTGCTTCACAGTGCTTTACAGCAGTCTCTAAGCCAGTGGTTCTCAACCTGTGGGTCGGGACCCCATTTGGGGTCGATCGACCATTTCACGGGGGTTGCCAAGCAAGGCTGTCCGCCATTTTTTTTGTCCATTTTTTTTGTCCGCCATTTTTTTCCCTTTTCCGGCGGGTGCCTTACCTTCCTTGGGCTGGGCCAGCTGGTGGTTGGCCTGCTCTGTCTCTGCCGCTTGCCAGCTACGCCTCTGCCGGCACAGGGGGTGGAACCACGCATGCGCGGTGCTCCCGGGCAGGGAAAGTCCTCGACTTACGACCGGTTGGGTAGTCCTCGACTTATGACCGGTTTAGTCCTCGACTTACGACCGTTTTAGTCCTCGACTTATGACCTGTTGGGGGTCGCGGCATTAAAAAGGTTGAGAACCACTGCTCTAAGCGGTTTACAAATGTCAGTATATTGCCCCCAACAATCTGGGTGCTCATTTTACCAATCTCGGAAGGATGGAAGGCTGAGTCAACCTTGAGCTGGCCAGGATCGAGCTCCCGGCAGTGGAATGCAGAGTTAGCCTGCAGTACTGCATTCTACCATTGCGCCACCATGGCTCCTGATGTCAGTAGAAAAGTTCAGATCAAATTCATATAATCTCATTGATTTAGACTAACTGTATATTATATACATTGTATACATATTACCATATTTACAAAATGACATGTTTATAGCTTTGGAAAGGAGTAGCTCTCAGATTAATAAATGATCCGAGTTCTGTTGCCAGGATAAATAGGAAACAGAGCTCATATGGTCCTATTGTAGCATTGCATTGCATATCAGCACGCTAAAAGCTTCAGACATCTTGTTTGCTTTAACTCATACAGAGTTTTCACATTCTTGTCCACCATCTTTGATGCTGATCAGAAAAACTACAAGTGGTTGGAGAGGTTAAATGCTACATATGGTAGATAGTTAATATAGCCATAATGCTCTTTCCTTTTGGGATTATTATGTAAAGTACATCAAAGGAGACGTAAATAATCAGCCAAAGAAATTAAAGGCAAAAGATAGGAAATCAAATGGAACCAATCATAGCTTTCTTGTTCCTCTTAACGCATTCACCGAGGATGTTCCTTGCAAGAACGTTCTCCTGGCGCAAGAAAGCTGCCTCCATAATATGGGAGACATCTGGCCCAATTCCCGTTGAAACCATCAGAACATAATCCAACCAAGACCTTGCCAAATACTGATAGGAAAGCTTGTGGAGTTGAAATCAAGACTGTAGGACAAGACACCACAAAGAATTCATCAGATCAATCATCCAGGTCGTGCTTCTTAAAATCAATGAAGAAAGATGCTTTATGTTAGTAGGCTTTCTCTTTGCTTACTTTATTAAGTTTTTACTGTTTACTATAGTGGGAACTGCAATATCATGACATGCATGATCAAATTCTCATGTTAGATGGTAGCAATACAGGTTATTCATGTTAGGTTGTAATCATCTAGCATAGAAAGTATAAGACATAAAATTCTTCAAATTCCACATAGTGTTGTCCTTCAAGTTTCTTCTGCTATTCTTCTGCATGCTAGTGCAGCTCTTTTAATCTGTCCCAGGCCTAACAATTATTGCCCAACTCATTTAATGGTTGTAACCATTCATTTCATAGCCACTTAAATCCTAAAATCCTTTGGTGCTTAGCCACGTCTCGGTGGAACTGGATGCAGAGAAATCCCAGAATTTCCTACAGAGACTAGATGCCTGGGAATTCAATCGTTAGATAATGTGATCCCCAGTAGGTTTTCTATTAAAGGCTGCTAGAGCAGTTAAAAATCACATCCCTTTTATCTCAGCATTCCTTACATTTCTTACTGTCTCACTAACATATCAGTCTTTGAGATGAGCATCTGTATTAAACTGAAATATTTTCATTTGCATTTTCAGCGTAGCCAGGGGCATTTGCAAGGGGGCAAATGGTGGAATAGGAATTGTGATGTGAGATTGTGGCAGAAGCCCCCACCCTTTTTATAAATACATTGTGTGATGTAACACACATGTACATAAGGACTAAAGTCTAAGAAGATAATAGCAATAGCACTTAGATTTATATACCACTTCATAGTACTTTACAACCCTCTCTAAGCAGTTTACAGAGTCAGCATAGTTCCCCCAACAAACTGGGTCCTCATTTTACTTATCTCAGAAGGATGAAAGGCTGAGTCAACTCTGAGCCGGTCAGGATCGAACTGCTGGCAGTTGGCAAAGTAGTCTGCAATACTGCAGTCTAACCACTGTGCCACCACAACTCCTCAGCGATAACCATTACTGACCGATAAACCAGATGGCCTGTAAACGTTAAGATGTCTTGTTGTGTGGGTATGAGTGTAGGTGTGGATATATGGGTATATATGTGTCTATGCATGCTCATAGGCCTTCAAGTCAGTGTTAACTCCCTGGAATTCCCTGGATAAATCCTTCAGTTTTCTTGACAGGATTTCAGAAGTGGTTTGCCATTGTTTGTTTTCTAGGGCTGAGAGAGAGTGACTGGCCCAAAGTTGGTTTCATGTTAAAGGCAGAACTAGAGTTCATGGTCCTTGTCATAGTATTATGTTTGTTGTTGATTGATTGATTGACTGATTGATCTGGGTGCTACCTAATTTCCAAATAACTCTGATATGATTTCAGAAGTATTAATATGATACCTGTTTCGACACTGAGAGAAAATTTGGATTTTGAAGACCCCTTTAATTGTAATGTGAGCTAATTCTTTAGAGTTGACTTCTAGAGACTTTTTAAAAAGCTTACCAGTTCAGTATTAATATATGGAGTAAGATTAAACGGGGGGGGGGGGGGGGGAGGCAAAGGCACTGCAATTAATCAAGTGAGCAGGAACATATTTTGTTTCTCATCACAAACTATTCATCACGGAGAAAGTAATCTTCTGTTTAGTTTTCAATATACATTTATAAATCTGATTGTGTCTGGGGCCTGTTTTCTTGATTCATAGACACAGGAATAAATTCAATTGTTGTGAATATTTTTACTAAGGTGGAGTATAACAGAGAATCAATCACAGATCAGTGGTGTGAATAATAGAATAACAAAGAGAATGTGGAAGCTGCTCAGAATGGTGTGGCCCCCTCGCCATGACCAACTCACTGCAGCCTAATCACTGCGTCCAATGTTCCAATATCTCAGGAGTTGCCACAAAGAAGAGGAAGTCAAGCTATTTTCCAAAGCGCCTGAAGGCAGGACAAGAAGCAACGGATGGAAACTAATCAAGGAGAGAAGCAACCTAGAACTAAGGAGAAACTTCCTGACCGTTAGAACAATTAACCAGTGGAACAACCTGCCTCCAGAAACGATGAATGCTCCAACACTGGAAGTTTTTAAGAAGAGATTG